CCAACGTGAGCCGCATCATGAAAAAGTCCCTCCCCGCTAATGCCAAGATATCCAAGGAGGCCAAGGAGACTGTCCAAGAATGCGTGTCGGAGTTCATAAGCTTCATCACCGGAGAAGCCTCGGACAAGTGCCAGAGGGAGAAGAGGAAGACTATCAACGGCGACGATCTCTTGTGGGCTATGACGACGCTGGGATTTGAGAATTACACTGGACCCTTGAAGACTTACCTGAACAGGTACAGGGAGATTGAGGGGGAGAAGAATTCTTCTTTTCCAAAGCCAGAAGACCAATTGCCGGTGGCTACAAATGAAGTCGTAGTTAAGGAGACGGCAGCTGACTTTGAGCAGAGTTTTGGCAGCGGTTCTGAGTTTTATTCAGTTTTCCCACTGAGTTATGGCGACGGTGAAAGGGCAGTCAACAATAGGGAGAATTTAGTGGTGGCTAGCAATAGTTTTAACGTCGACAGGATTCGCCGGAGTGGAGATGGGAACGGTTACAGGCCTATGACAGCTCATCTTCGCCATGATGTTGAGTGGTAGAGTATCGATAAGGTGAGGGATTTGATATGTATAAGTGATTGTATTATGATATGTATAAGTGATTGTATTATGTTGGTTCAATTTGCTAATTAGGACTAGCTCCGAGTGTGTTTGATTTAGTGCATGGTTTCTAATTTTTAAAAGTCTATAACATAAAATATTAAATTGATGATATTTATTGTTATTTAAAATTTAAATATTATTAATTATTTTTTTTAACATTATTATAAATTGAGGGTAAAGGGACTTAAACACTAATTAGAGGCTGAAAAAATATATCTTATGAATTGACTTATAATTGTTAGGCCGTGAGAGTTAAGTACAAATATTATTAATTATTAAACATTAATTATTAATTATAAACTATTTTGAAATGAGTAGACCAAACAAAGCCTAGTTAATTAATTGTGTACCAAGAAGCCTCAACTACACAGTCCACCAACGTCATAGCTAGCCCAGGTCATGGTTCAATTTTCTAGTTTAAACTGAGCTTTGTTAAATTTCAACCAAATCTCAAATGCCTTAATTTTTTTTTTTTAATAAAATGAGTTAATTTTGAAGTTGTTAAAAGCTTCTCTTGGTACAAAGGAGAAGAATCCACGAACATGAATCTATGTTCTGCAATAAGTTGTTTTCATTCACTGCTTTATATATTCTGAAGTCAAAGATATTTTTTTCCTTTTTCTTTTGCTTTGGACTTTGTAATATTTTTGAGGGCTCATGTTTTCACAATTAATCCAAACACTTTTATTTCTTTCTTTTACTCAGAAGTGTTTCAAACACTTCTTGTTTTCTTCCTCTTGTGTTGATTAATGAAATTGTTATATTTTAGTTAAAATAAACTAAATAATGTGAGCAATTTAATGGTTAACGCTTAGACAGTCAATTTCTTAGCTTTAAGTTCTACCCACAGTTTCTGATCAATAGGTGACTTGTAAAATTGTACATGCACCGACTTTTTTTTTCTTTTTTTAATATAAGTAATTTGTTACCATTAAGGGAACTACTGAAGGAGAAATGAGGAAAGGATTGGTGGGGTCTGAATACACACTTATCAAATGAATTCCACAAGGTGGGTGGCGTTGTCATTGTGCCTATAACATGGGGTTTGTAGTTGCACTGACTTTGAACTTGGTAACCTACCCCCACTTTGAGCTTTCCCTCACTAAAAAAATAATGGTTTGAGCTTTAAATCTTATATTTAAGGACAAGTAGGTCTTTTTTTTTAAAAAAAACAATATTGAAATATTGTGCGTAATATTTGGATAGAAAATAAAAATAAATTCCGTAAATAAATGTCAAAAGTTATATTGATATGTAGTACGTATAGATTTATTGGTGGATATATATTAGTGTAGAGATATAATAAAAAATTAATGATATGTTGGTTCGAACGAAAAAAATTTAATTCTTTTTAAATAAAATTTTAAATTTGAATTTTATGAATAAAGAAACAAATATTAAGAGAGGTTTTTTTTTTATGAGATCCAATGCGAATCGATTCTGAATTAGTTGAGATTTAATATGATTTTTGAATATTGTGATGTTTATAAAAAAAGATTTAAATATTAAAATTATTTTATTTTATTTTACATTTTACATTATATCAAATTATAAAATATAAATTATTAAATGGAAAGACAATTGTCAATGCTAAAGACCTTGCCCATATATATTGATTAAATTATATAATATAAATTATATGGCACTTTTTTTTAAATTTATACTCAAAGTTTGAATTAAAAAACCTTTTTTTCAGTATAAAAATTAAAATAACAAAAAAATAAAAAATTTTGATAATTAAAATATTAATATAAAAATAAAAAAACTTAAATATTTTTAATAAATCAATAAATAAAAAGACTCATTAAAAACTTCCTATATTTTCCTTTTTTTCATTAAAAAAAAAAAAAGAAAAAAATATGGGCAAAGGGGTGGAGAGGGAAATCAACGTCGGGAAACAGAGTAGCTTGAGTTTGACCAAATTCGAATGTTGATTTCCACTGCGTCACCTCAATGCCGCTTCGACAAACAATTCCCACCCCAAAGCAATTCTGTCTGCCTCTTCATCCATTTATATGATATTCAAAATTAACCCCATCAACTTTTCTACTCTTCCATGGAGGCCCCTTTGTCTCCTCCTCCCCAGTCACCGGAAATCAGAACGGTAACGGTAGACGAGTGCGCCACAGAACGCAAGGAAGACTCAGATCCAACGGTCGAAAATCATCATCCATCTCCGAGGGTTATCACCTACCGAAAGATGAAGAAGAAGAAAAGAGTGAGTAGAGATAAAGATGCAGAAGTTAGAGGCTCCTCTTCAATTGCATTGCCTTCATCCGCTTCTTCTTCTGCACAACAAGGTACGGGCTTTTTATTGAAACGCCGAAACCCTAGGTGCCGTTTCAGTCTGGCTCGGCGTGGCGAAGGTGGTGAATTGGAGGACATTGCGCTTTCTCTGGGAATGTCCTTCGCTGCAGTTGTTTCACAGGTTCGATCAAGTATACACCTTTTCTTCATTTATACGTAAAGATTTATTATTTCTTGGTTTTTCTTTGTGGGTTTTTGGTAGTTATTTGGTATCTGTTCAAGATGGGAAATTTTGGGGTTTTGATGAATAGTGGTTTTTAGTGCTGGTAAGTTATTCTTTTGAAGGCATTGCTGTTTTTGTAGTTCTTCTTGAATTTCTTTGTGGATGTTGTGTTAAATTGAGTTGGGAAACATTGGGTTTTGATGATTTGTTATTGACTATCATGCTGCATCTCTGCCGCTGATATTCATTCTAGGTTTGATTTTTGTTTTTTTGGTCTCCATTTGGGTAAAGTTTCCATTTTGATGGTGCTTTAGCTGATATGTTGTTGATTTTTGAGATAAGATATGTTGTTGATTCAATGTGTTAAATTAATATATTGGGGGATTTCTTCAGCTTTTGAATTTTGGTTTGCAGCTAGAATGTATCTTGAATCTGATTCTTTTGAGTTGTTTTCTAGTTAAAGGCTTAAAACTGTTGCCTTTGGTTTATGCATTAATGATGTCTGATAACAATTAAATGTATTTTATTTCTGATTAGTTTGAGCTGCTGCCTGGTTAAAGCAAATGGTTTGTGCTTATTCGTCTGCTGTTCTTAAGGCTTGTCTTGGTGCATGTTTCACTGCATTTGTTTTGAGCTGTTTCTAAAACTATTCCTTTCCTTGTTAGCATGCAACTCCCTTCTATATTTTTATGTTGATCTTGGAAAGATAGTCTAATGTGATTTCAATTTGCTGAAGATCTTAGTATTACATGGTTGATCTTGTTATTATGGTGATTGTTGATTCTAGGTTCTGGAAAGGCAAGATGAATCAAGTGAAAGGATGTCTGCTGATTGTCTCTCCACGGTATTATTCTGCTTTTCTAATAAAATTCTCATTCTAGTTGGTTTCGATGTTATTGAAGCACAAACAATTTTGGTTGTTAATGAATTCAATCATATTTGCACTCTTGCAGATCTGCACTGCAGCTGTTAGAGAATCTCTAGCCAATGTAAGCCAGACCTTAAACTGCTATGTAATCAATTGACTCTGGTTTTACAAGTTTTGTTTTCTTATTCCATTCTTACCTACAGTATACCATCCAAAATGCTTAACATATAAGTACATGCCTTTTGTTTCAATCATCATGTGGCTACAGGTTTTCAGTGACAAGTCTGATCATTTTGTTAGGAACTTTGAGAAATCATTTGGGAGCACATTGAGGACTCTTAGATTGATTAATGAATCATCTGTTCACAAGGAAAACTGTTTCTCAGCCAACCAAAATGTAGAAGGTTCTAATTTAAATGGAGATTGTACAAGCAATTCTGATGTAAATGATTTTTGCTCAGAAACAGACTTACCATCCATTGCAACTCATAACCAATTGAATACACGTGAAGAGGTAGAAGAGAATGTACCAACTAATTCAGTGGATCAGGGAATTTCTGTTCATGGACAAATAAACCAACTAGCTTGTGTGACTTTAAATGGAGATTGTACAAGCAATTCTGATGTAAATGATATTCACTCAGAAACAGACTTGCCATCCATTGCAACTCATAACAGATTGAACACTCACGAAGAGGTAGAAGGGAATGTACGAACTAATTCGGTGGATCAGGGAACTCCTCCGCATGGACAAGTAAACCAACTAGCTTGTGTCACGTCAAGCATGGGTTCTTCAATAAACCAGTCAATGCTCAGCACATTTGAGAAGTCCTTTATGGAGCAAGTTCGGTCCAATGACCTTAAAGTACTGGAGCTTTGCCTTACCAAGAGAAAGTTGGAGCTAAAAGAGGAACAGCTAGCTCTAAACGTCGATTCAAATCATCTGGAGAGATCAAAATTAACAATGGGTATAAAAAAGGCATCCTTTAAAGCTGAAAAATTCAAAAATGAACTAGAAGACATAAGACATGCTGAACTGCTAAAGAAGTGCATTGACTGTCTTGTAGCTGGTTTGTTCATCATGTCAGTCTCACTTTCATATGGTGCTTATGTTTTTTCATATGAGAGGATCACTGAAGCAACAGCAGTATGTACTCCTTCACTTGAGGTAAAAGAGGGGACGGGTCTTTCTTATATCAGTTGATTGATGCCTCACAAGTTGCTTTTAATTGTTAAGTTTATTAATTCAGTTTCCCTTGCACTGTTGTTGTGTGGTCATTCGTCAGGAATATGGATCCTTAACCCTTTTTTTGTTGTCTATTGCTCTATAATGTTATACCTATCTATTTTCACTTTCTCTTTACAATGTTATAAGGATTTTCTTATGTACTACATGTTTCTTTTTGGCTACATCTACTGGTAGTTAACTGACTCTCTTAACATGGCTGAAATTAATTGAGACAACACATTAATGGGTTAGCTGGGGTTTAGGGACTAGGATAGGCATTTGGTTTTCCCATTGCCTTCACAAATAAAAATAACTTGCAAAAGTGGGGATAGCTTGTACCTTATGGAGTTGAACTATTTTTGGCTGTTGTGACAGCAGTGAGTAAGATTTTTGTCACTGCTCCTATGTAATGCCAAGATCTTGCATTGCTACTGTTATGTTCTACACCAATGATCCATACAGGACATCTTAGTCTGTGAAATTATCTCACATTCTATGGCAGATGATTTCACCTTGGCTAACTTTCCTTGAGATTTTTAATTTTTTTACTAAATCTTTTTACAATTTGATTTCTTGCAGGAGTCCAAGGCCTGGTGGATGCCAAAGCCCGTTGTATCTTTCAATTCAGGGCTGCATTCTCTTAAGTGTCAAGTTCAAGTTGTTAGCCGAATGTTGTTTGGTGTCCTGATGATTCTCACAATTGCTTACTTGCTTCTTCAGCGCTCAGTAACTATAAAACACACAATGCCTATCACTTTTATACTCCTGCTATTAGGAATTGCTTGTGGTTTGGCTGGAAAGTTCTGTGTAGACACATTGGGAGGGAGTGGATATCATTGGCTCTTCTATTGGGAGATTCTCTGCCTGCTTCATTTCTTCTCAAATGTTTGGACTTCAGCATTTTTCTTCATCCTCCATGGACCTGTGAACGTGTCTCAAGGGATAAAAAGCAGCACAATTCTTCCGTACTGGATCCGAAGACTTTTATTCTATTCTAGCATGCTTTTATTTCTGCCATTATTGTGTGGTCTTATGCCTTTTGCAAGCCCAGGTGAGTGGAAAGATCACTTCAAGCAGGTGGTCTATGAATTGCTGTCGAATACCGGTGACTGAATGTGGAATGCAAATAAGGTTATGCAAATCTGCACCTGGTCTTTGTTGACATTCCAAGTTAGCCTGTACTCTTGGCCAAGTGCCTGGCCTTTTTGGCCTTCAGCAAGCTGCCTGGTGGAGAGGCATGTATCTTGTCTTGTATCTTATTGACAAGTTATTGTGATTTTGGCAGAACATGTAAATTAAAAAAATTCATAATGTTTTACTTGAAGTGAGTAAGGGTTTTGTTTTTCATTTATAAAAGAAATTAGCAATGGAATTGAAAATGTATAACATAGTTATTGATAGAAGTTTGGTTTACTTTTGTGCTGGTTGATGTTTTGCTTTGGTTGTGTTTTTGGTCCTGTTAGATATTTGTCCGACTCAATATTAACAAGGGAAAGAAAAATTGCTCAAAAGCAACAAAAAAGAGTAATGGTAACTCGGAAAAAAAGCTCCAGAGGCCACACGGTAGACTGATAAAATGCCTAGTGGCAGATGTAGTGTCTCTCCAACATTTTGTGGCGCTTAGAAAGAAATGCCACCGACTGAGGAAGCGGCAGAACAGAGGTAGAGAAAAAGAAGAACAGCAATGGAAAAATCACCAGAGAGGGGAAGAGACTCATATACTAATTGTTTGTTTGATCAAGTTATCAAGGGTTCCTTGAAGTGCCTAGGCCAAGACTCCTCTAATGAACAAGCTGAGGGTTGTCCTTTGGATGTAAAAAACTGAAAAACTCTGCATCCCCTTCTTTAAATTTCTCTTTTTGGAAAATGAAGAAAGACCTAATTAAGATCCTGTGATGAAACAGGAAGGGTTACAAGTGTAGTCAACAAGGGCGATAAGAATCAAAAGGCCACCAAGACAACCAGTAAGCCATGGAGCTGGTGCTCAATTCAACTCTTCTGCAGCTTAAACACAGGTGCTTAGAGGTCTGTAACCATTTAGTTGCAGTACTTTGCGGTAGTTTGTTTTCGTTTGTTTTGTTGCTGTTTTTGTATGTGAAAGAATTGTAATGATGCAAGCCCGAAAATGTCAACTTTGTTTATCTAGAAAACCAGCTGCTTCTTGGTTTGCATTCACACGGGAAATTTTTCCTAAAATATATATAACCGAATGACTAAAATAAATGCCAGTCTAGACTATTGAAAACGAGTAAAGTGAGATCAATGAATAAACGCGCAAGCCACATTTCACTATCTATCATGTCCCCTTTTTTGGCCCATGGTGACATCTGTTTATACACATTCTCAACCCTCAATGATTTTCTCTATCTTATCTGTATCCACCTGTTATTCCCATACAAGACTGTTAATCAAATTTTCATGTTTCTTTAGAAAATTGTTCAATTCTCAATTCATTTTCCTCACTATACAATTTTCTGTGTATCACCTTTTCAATCAAGCCCAATAGATGAGCTTACTCTAATTAATAACAGAGGAAAACAGAGATGTGAATGCAATATTAAGTTCCGTTTCTTTGTTCGGATGTTGAAGGATCTAGACCCAAACACTTAAGAAATGCAAGTTTAGCAAGCCTGAAATAATCACAAGGGTGAAAACTAATGGGGTTTGTATCCTTTGATGAAGTGCTCTCCCTTTCTACAATGTCTTCTCCTCTCACAACTCTCCTCCTCGTGTCTGTCGCTATCTCCCCTTTTATGCTATGGTTTTCTCCTGCCTGCCATGAGCAATCACACAAATTAGCATTCGGCTTATTGCAACCAAAGAAATTAAACTTGGTTTGAAACTGCTTGCTGGATTAAAAAAATGTTTAATTTTACCATAAGTTACATTATTAAAAAGGCAGAAAAAAGTAAGTACATACCAATAGAAGCATATATGAGGTCGGCACCAAACTTCTTTTTTGTTTATCAACAATAATATAATATGATTAATATTTGCCAACCTTCAGTCTTCACCAAAAAATCAAACTAAAGAACATGCTTTTCCAAGTTTTGTATCTTAGTAACGAAGGCAAGCAAAAGATTCCAAAACCTTGTCAAGCAACCTTCCTTTTTGTTTAAGCAAAAAGACTACGGCTGAAAATTTTGGACTTTAGATAAAGAAGACAACTCCAAGGGTAATTTTAAATGTGAATTATGAAACATAACTTTCTCAATTGCCATTTTAAGAGCATACATGACTACATCCAGTTTCCAACTAAAAGAAGAATAAATGATTCTGTTTAATATGATGTGGCTTCAATCAAGTGGATATATACTAATTCATGCATGCATTTCAGAGTACTACCAAATAAAAAGAGTCAATCACTCAAATTCTCATCCGATGCCACATTATATTATCCCCAGCGTCATATCATACACATATAACATGGAAAATCATTATAACTCAACATCTAGTTAAGAAAAGTTGAAAATTGACTATATGTTGCTAACACAGAGGAACCCCAATTATGTTCACATTAGGTGAAATCTACAATAAATTGCATTATGAATATAACTATGCACATCTAGTTAATCCTTCTTTAATAAAATTGCAAAAGTTATACCATTGATTTAAAATTTTTGAAATGAGGTTACTTACTTGGTAAAAGAAAAAAGCCATATCCTTCGCTAGAAAGTTTTAAAAGTTTGTCTCTTTATTTGCAAGATTGCAAGGAATCTCGATGGAAGAAGAAAGTATTGACTTTCTGCATCCCCGTGTGGAAAATGCCAAAAGTGCTGTAAATAATAAAAAGGACAAGACTGACAGCTTATTTTAACTAAATTATTTTCTACTTCAAGGAACCCCACATTCATGATCGACCCATTATTTTTAACCATCCCCTTTAATTAGTTGCCTAAAAACAAAGCAAACCCAGAAAGGAAAAAAAAAAAAAAAATTCTCTCTTCCTGTACCCAAATAATGAAGTACCAATCAATTAAACATGAGCAATAAAAAGAGGATTTGGACAATAATCAACACAAGCTACAAACGCAGAACAATGAATCTGTAAATAAAGGACATAGGAATTGAATCATATGATACCTGGGCAGCTTGCAGCAAGCAATCAGTAGTGGGGGTGCTCCCATTTTGCTTAGGAAGAGGTTTGTTGAGATGGGTGTGGTGGGAGATGGAAGATGAAGCAGAGAAAATGGTGGCATCTGAGAGATCTGAAGGGAAAATGCTGAAACAATACAGGAGGAGCAGGAGCAGGAACAAGACCAGAATCTGAATCCATATCAGCCATGGAATTCTGGAGTCTTCAATTATGAGTTCATCCCCAATATTGAACATATGGGTCTACTAGCAAAAGGGGCTCCAGAGGGAAAAAGAAGGAGGAAGGAGAGGACCAGAAGAGGAAGAAGAAGGTTAGGCAGGAGAAATTTGAAGGGTTGAAACGACAGAAATTAACAGACTTTTCATGTGAGGTGACCAAAGCAAATTGTATCTTGTTTAAGTAAGATGGGTTAGCACTTGTATTCAACTTAGAAGAACCACGCGCCACCTTGTGAGCGTGACTATACTTGCGAGGTGTTTTTTTTTTTTACGAATTCTAATATCTGGAAGTCATCTCAAGTAATTAGGAATTAATCAACATATAATTTTTTGTTTATAAAACTCATATTTAGTATTTAATTAAAAAAAGAGTAGAATTTATTTTATTTAAACTAACGATTTATTTAAAAGAAATTGAATTTTTTCAATTTAAATTGAGGGTATATTTGCAAGTTGTTGGCTTAAAAGAAAAAGAAAAAGAAAAAAAAAAAAACAAGAAGAACAACAAAACACATGCAGTGCCCAGTGAGATTTGGATTGATTAAAATATTAATTTAGTTTCTCAATTTATATCAAAATTATTTTTTAATTTTCAAATATATTAAAATTGTTTCTAAATTATAATTTTTGATACCATAATAGCTGTCAAACTTTCAAAATAATATCAATTTAATACTTAAATTTTAAAGACAAGTATTAATTTAGTTTTTAAATTTTAATTAGAAATACCAATTTAGTTTTTAACTTTAATTATATTTCAATATGATATATAAATAAAATATATTAATCTTACACCTCATTAATATTTAAAAAAAAACTAATTTGTGACAAAATAATAAGTTATATGATATTTTATTTAATGAAATAATTATTTTAATATTAAAAATTAAAGTTAAAAAATAATTTTAGTATTTTTTAAAATTAAAAAAATAATTTTTACATAAATCTAAAAATTAAAAGACAAAATGAGTTTTCAAACCATTTGTATTTATTATAGAGTCTAATTAATAACATCGAAAAAGTATTATGCAGCGAATTGTACCGGATTTAATAATATTTATCAACAATATTCGATATATTTAATAATAATGTTTATACAAAAAAAAATGCAGTGCGAAAACATTTTTGTTTATAAATTTTATTCAAAAAAAGATATTTAAATCCTGATATAAATGTCACACAATCAAGTTTTTCCGGGCCTACAAGCCTTGGTAGGCCAGATGGCCCAACTCTTACGTAAATGGATTCTCAATTCTCCCCATAGCGTGTGGGTGTTTGGACCCGTAAAGAAAACTTTTTCCGCATACCCTCCTCGACTTGACATAACAATCAAAACATTCTATAGATTTGGACCACTCCCAACTTTCTGGTTGTTTTTATTTTTATTTTTTTGCATAAGAATTTTTTTTAATTTGTGTTTTAAAATATTTGTTAAAAATGTATTAAATATATTTTTTTATTATAAATAAAAAAATAATATAAAAATTAATATTAATTTTAATAGAAGATAAATTTAATTAAGTAATTAATAAATTAAAAATTAATTTTTATTATTTTAATATAAATTTATAATAAATATATATATATATTTAATTTATTTTTAAACTATACTAAAATATAATTTAGAGAAACCATTTTCAGAATATACATCCTAACTTACAGTCACGTCTTCGCATTTACCAAGAAAAAATAAAAACACGTCTCCACTTTTATTTTATTTTATTTTATTTTATTTTTAACCATCTCTCGACCTTTAGTTTAAAGGCCGCTTATTGTTATTGAAAAAAGGTCCCTGAAGGTTTCGATATATGTAGTTGTTTTTCAGAATTTGTGAAAGAGATCATGATGGGAAGAGTTACGTTCAGCATCTAAAATGTTCAGGTTATTAATATTTTTTATTTTTTTAAAATAGTGATTAAAAATATTAATTTATTAGTTAATTAATATTAATTATTTTATTAATTATTAGTTATAATTATTAATTTTTATCAATTAAATAAAATAAAATTAGTATCTTTAAAGATAATATTTTATAATGTTAATAATCTAAGTAATTTAATGAAAATTTTCTTTCAATAAAAATAAAAAA